TGCTACCTGCCGCTGTCTGTGCCCAAGACTAGGTGGGCAAGTCAAGCAGGCCCTTTATTCCTGCTGGCATCAGTTCACAGGGGGAAGGGCTGTGCCTACCTAAAGGCAAGACCGAATGATGTTAAAACAAGAATCTAAGCCTGGCTGCTGCCACTTGGTTCTTACACAGATGGCAGAATGAAAGGTGAGCTTGGGGATCTGACCAGACCCCTCATCCCTCAATCCCCCACTGCAGTATGGACACTGGTGTCTAAAGTTTCATTGAGGGGCCGGGGCTGTGTTGAAGCAGGTTAAGCCGCCAGTTGTAGCACCAGTAGCCCACGTGGATGCCAATTCAGGTACCGGCTGCTCCGCTTCCAATCCAGCACTCTGTTAATGGCCTGGGAAAAGCAGCAGATGAACCAAGTACTTGGGACATTGCATCCATGTGGGAGATCTGAAAGAAACTCCTGGCTTTGAACTGGCCCAGCCCTGACTGTTGCAGCCATATGGGAGTGAACCAGTGGATGGAAAATCTCCCGTCTCTAACTCTGCTTTTCAAATAAATAAGTAAAATCTAAAAAAAAAAAAAAACAAAAAAAAAAAACAAAACAACAACAACAACAACAAAAAAAAAACAAAAAAAGTTCTGTTGAAACCACAGAAAGCTAGGCTTACGAGTGAAAGGCTCACGTTCTAGTCCTCATCCAGCTGTGCAACCTCAGGCTCGTCACTGAACCACCATGAGTTTTCATTTCCTCTTTAAATGTAAAGGGCTGCTTCACAGGACTTGTTTTTCAAGATCAAAGACCCTGCAGCCCGCAAAAAGAGTGTACAAATGCCCCAAACTGTGGCACACAGGAGGGAGGTTCAAAAAGTTGCTGGACATATGCAATGAAGGCGTATTTTCCATTAATTTTTGAAGGCCCCTCCTACTCTGCAGGCTCTCAGTGCAGACTGATGAACGCAGGCAACACAAAGGATGACCGGCGTGCATGACCGACAGATGCGAGCCTGTGTTAAAGCTCATGAAGGCTTGTCTCGGGGTTTGCTGCCTGTCTCCTCCACAGATCTCTCATGCTGGGACCACGTTCTGCCTGTTATTTGCTATGCGACTCCCTTCCCTACTCCACCGTTGCTCCAGCAGATAAGGGAGCAAAATGCCAGCCCTTGCCAGCGTCACCAAGGCATGAATGTGCAACTGGCTTCTTATGTTCAACCTGTGACTACAAAGTGTTGCCAAGATTCTAGCCTCCCACTGAGCAGATCTTGCGTTCCATCCTGTTATGTGTAAGTGGGCTGGGAATACCAGCAAACCAAGAAAATAAGTCCAAATGATCGTACGTCGCCACGGAGCTCTCCTTTTTGTTTTTCTGCAGGGGCTTGAGATGACAGCTGAGCTGCATACCCACGGCTAGGACGCCCAAGCCAAGGAACCGGGTGTGCCTGAGTGAATCTCGTTTAGCTAAGAGCCATGCACGCAGCAGAAGCTGGTGGAGGCCAGATCTGACCCTCTGTCATGCCAGGGCTCTGGCTGCAACTGAGAAATGTCAGTGGAGGGGACAAACCTGTATAAATCAGCACTCAGCAGCTTTGGACACCCTGCTCAGAAACGGGGTGAGGGGAGGCTGAGTAGGAGTACTGATGGGGGGCCAGCGCTGTGGCGTAGCAGGTAAAGCCGTTGCCTGCAGTGCCAGCAACCCATATGGGTGCTGGTTTGAGTCTCAGCTGCTCCTCTTCTGATCCAGCTCCCTGCTATGGGAAATCAATGGAAGATGGCCCAAATGCTTGGGTCCCTGCACCCACATGGGAAACCCAGAAGCTCTTAGCTCCCGGTTTCAGATTGGTGCAGCTCTGGATATCGTGGCCATCTGGGAAGTGAACCAGCGGATGGAAGACCTCTCTCTCTCTGTTACTCTACCTTTCAAATAAAATAAATAAATCTTAAAAAAAAAAAAAAGCTGACACTGCTTACCTAGCAGTGTCCCAGGTGCCACACCAGGCACCTAATCTGGGCTATCTTTGACCCTCCCTAGAAAGTGAGTGCTCTCCCGAGTTACCAAGGAGGCCAGCGAAGCCCAGAGAGGTTAGGGACCTTGCTCACCTGACACAGCTAGTAAAGGCCTGGCTGCAAGCCCAGAACCACTAAGGGAGACCACAGAATGCGGAACCGGGCTGAGTTCCCAAGCAGCGGCAGCAGCAGCCAGGGAAAGGTCACGGGCAGATGAGGCCTCCCTCTTGGTGGGAAGGAGGTGGTCAGTAGGGAGGAACTCACGAGCTGGGGATGAAATGAGGATGCAAGGGATGAACCCATGTCACTCCTAATCAGGCGTTCCTCACTCCCACGCTAGAATGCTCCTGAGAAAAGTGGAAGCCCCCAGAGGGAGCCAGCTCTCCTCTCTGGGTCCAAGGTCCCAAGGCAGGCAGTCATAAACAGGTAGTCAGGTACCCTTTTGTGCCCCTTCACATTAACCTTTATACAGAAAGGAAAGTGGATGTTTTAAATTTCACACACACCCCAACCTGCCCCACCCCCCACCCCCAGGCAGGTGACACACACCAAGGTAAATGGCCAGCAGAGCTGGAAAGGCACCGGTGACACAGACAATCCTCCCCAGAGAGAGCAGGCGGGATTCCACTGAGCTTTCTCCTTCCCGTGGTCTGACTCGTAAGAACACCACCATTCAGTAAAATGTAAAACCCACCCTAAACTGTTTTTATCCCTCCTTATTAGTTGTCAAATCCCAATTATTAAGGTGCGAGAACTTTCATCTCTTGGGACATTGGTTCTAAAGCCCCAGTGGATGCCCAAGTCCCTTCTATAAGAAGGCACAGTATGTGAACAGAACCTGCACATACCCTCCTATACATTTTAAATCCTCTCTACCTAACACTGCATAAATGTTTAAGCAATAAGATGTCATACTGTATTGCTTAGGGGATAATGACAAGGAAAAAGCCTACGTGTCCAGGTCAGACACAACTCTGTTAACGTTTTTGGTCCATGGTCAGTTGAACACCCAAACATGGAGATACCTCCAGACATGGAGAGTGGACTGTGCCACATTCTGTTTAGTCTATTCTTTGGGTTTGAACCACAAGGTCTACATGGGATACTTCCCAAGGCTGCTTCCTCTGTCAGTCAGACCAGCCTGTGCTTAGCTAGCAAATGCTTACCCAGAAGCGGTATTTCAGCCCCACGGGTCTCAGCTAATGAGAGCAATGGATTATCATGAAATGATCCCCAGTGACTCTCCACAGCTCCCGATACCAAGAGCACAGAATCGGTCTAAAGATGTCAAGCATCCCAACACACACTAGCTCTGAGAAGTGGGCAGAGCTGGAAGCACGAGATACAGTACAGGGAAAGTGAGATTTCATTCTCTAACAGGCTTGTTAGCTTTCAAGTCAATGAATGTTTTTAATCCCTGTAACCCTCTGTCAACTTCTTACAGTATCAAGGCCGCTGAGGCCGCGAGGTACAGTAACGGCCTCTTACAAGTCAGACCACATAAAGACGGTGACTTTGATTCCTTGGCCTGCCTCCTGAGATGATGTGAGCTTGCTTTGGGTACGTGCTGTAACAGTGACAGCACAATCACAGGAACAATGAAGCAGAGAAGCACAAGGTGCCTACACAGTTTTACCTAAATGTCTTGTTTGTAGGATGGAGCTGATGTGCCTGTACTGACAGTCAAGAACAATTAGCAGAGTAGTTCTGAAAAGGAGGAAGAATTCACAAGGCATCAGTTATGAGTGAAGGGAAGTCACCATCTGCCAATGGGCACCAGGGTGTCACTGCATTGGAAGGGGAAAAGGAGTGGGTTGGATCCGATCCAGAGGCCTCTCTGCCCACATTAAAACTAAACAGCTTCTATGCCTGCCGGCATCACAGAGTCAACACATTCTGTGTGTGTCTCGCTCAGTCTCACACCCCAAAACATAGAAACAATGGGTGTTAAGAACCAAGGAGAAGAAAGTACAGTGTGGGCTCATTCTTCTGAAGCAGAGGAGTACACAGATGTTTTTAAAGTTCGTATCTACCTTGGTCCTCGAGGCTTCCATATGTCCTCTCCCTCTCTGCCTCCCTCCCAAAAAGATGAGCCCATTGCCCGTCGAGACAGAGGGGGAGCAGTACTTCTAATTCTTGACTGCTCACAGTCTCTGGGCTGCTGTTTGGCAAGGGAGGAGCAGGAGGAGCAGCAGAGAAAACAAGGCTCTGGGAAGCACCTTTAGGCTAGAAACAGCCTCCACAGTTAAAAGCCACAACTATAATATGCATTAAACAGTGTTCAGAGTACAGTCATAATATTCAGGCGTGTCCCACTAGTCTGCAATATGAGGATACCAGAAGCTGCCAGAAACACATCATTTCTTCATTATCTACCAGCAGCACTTCTGATTTCCTGCCATGATTAAATAAGGCTTATGTTTGTTTCTCTAAGGTTTAGGATCTTAAACTAAAATCCTTTATTTCAAAAACAAAAACAAAAACAAAGTAACTTGCCAGGCAGAGAAAGGTCTGAGTAGAAGATGGCAGCTTTCTTCTTAACAGTCCCCCCCGCCCCACCCCGCCCCAAGAGGGACTGGATGGAGAAAGGAGAAAGAATGCCCAAGAGTAAGAAAAGCCTCAGGAGGAACGCCGAGGGCTACGGTCAGCCCCGCAGGCGCACGGGATCACCTTTACCATCAGCCAGGTGAGCTCCATTTCCTCACCTGGGTCACTGCTCCTGCCCACTTGCTCCAAAAGGAAGCAGAACCAAACAATGTGTTCATCTACAATAGATGTAATACAATAGGGTAAGTAAGACCTGTCCAGTTACTGCCCTTACTTCTTTGTGCTGTTGGGAAAGGAAGACAACAAAGTGATAAAACCCAAGCTCTTTGCAAGCCAGCTGGTGACCAGTTCTCCCAGGAATTTCTGCTGAGCTCTGCCCTCGCCCGACCCCATCAGTGAGGGAAGGGGCAGCAGGGCAGGTCTGGTCACCTGCACAGGGGTAGAAAAGAGAAACCAAACATAATTCGGGCCACAAGTGGATTCTGGCACATTTTTAGGGTAGGTTAAAAATGTCGTGGTGTGTACAGGAAGCAGACGAGGGAGTTTTTGGAGGGAGACAATGCCTGCAGGTAGGATGACCAGTCCAACTACTTGTGGGGAGGAGCTCCCTGTGCTAAGCGCAGAGGAGCTAGGGGGCCTCGAGGAAGGTGTTGGTTCGGAAGATGGAGGAGACGATCTTCCCAGTGGCGTTGATGGTGCCTTCGCTGTCTGAGCTGGACTCAGAGTCGCTGCTCCCCGAGTAGGCGCCCAGGCCCGGGAGGATGCCGATACAGACTGCTGCAGAGGGGCAGTGGATGGAGGGGCCGCTCAGGGAAGTGCTTCCGAGAGACACACAGGACGAGGCCTCTGCAAAGAGGAAGGATTGTTACTCCATCATCCTTGGCCACAGCTTAACATATACATCTCAGGGCTAGGCCCCATGCCAAGAGCTTTACCCACGGATGCCCATGGAAGCCTCAAACCCACCCTGTGCAGTTGTCATCCTCATTTTACTCAAGGGGAACTGAGGAAGTGAGGTTCCAGGAGGTGAAATGACTTCTCCAGGTGATGAGCCGAAGTTGGAATTCTAAAGCTCTCTCTTGACCACAGCCTGTCACCCTCTCTGTTCTCCATCACTCTGAGGAGAACAAGTTCCCCACACTCACACAGTCATGGTATTACAAGTGAGACTCAGGTCCATATCATCTTTACTTACTCACAAGGCAGGAAATAGATAAGGGGAGAGACAAAAGTTTCCGCACACTCAACAGCAGAAAGGAAGCCAGCTTCAGAGATACTACAGGCAACATTAACAATTCTATTCCACTTCTCAGCGTACTACATCATCCATACTTATTGACCAGTGCCAGCTAGCACAGACACATTTTCAAAGGCTGCAGAATAATGTTCCTTACTAAGAAGGGCTGCTGTTCCCTAATGGAGGAGCTGAGCAACTTAGAAACTGATGAAACACCATCTTTGCTTTCCCGTCCTGTTCCTCTTTCACAACAAAGAGAACTAAAGTCAGTCAGGTCACATTTTCAAACCACACAGAACGTTACCAAGTAGCTGGGGCTCTCCCTTCTCCAAAACCTAGTTACTGTGCCACTCCAAAGATGGAAAGTCTCAATAGACAAAATCCAGAACTTGAAGATTAAAGGAAAAGTTAAGAATTCGGCTCCACCAAGTTTTTCCTCTAAGTGAGGAAGTCAAATGGCTTGGCAAGGGTAGGGGCCACTTAGAGTAGAAAACATTAAACTAAACCTCAACCAAGAAATAATGCTCCGGGGCCGGCACTGTGGGGTAGCAGGGAAAGCGGCCACCTGCAGTGCCAGCATCCCATATAGGTGCCAGTTTGAGTCCCCGCTGCCGCTCTTCCGATCCAACTCCCTGCTAATGCGCCTGGGAAAGCAGTGAAAGATGGCCCAAGTGTTTGGGCCCCTGTACCCGCGTGGGAAACCTGGAAGAAGCTCCTGGCTCCTGGCTTTGGATTGGCACAGCTCCAGCTGTTGCGGCCAATTGGGGGAGTAAGCCAGCAGATAGAAGACCTCTCTCTCTCTCTCTCTCTCTCTCTCTCTGCCTGGTTGTGTAATCTTTCAAATAAATCTTAAAAATAATATGTAACACATATAAAATGATACTTTCAGTATTCTATTACCTTTCAAGAATATATAGATAAGTTACTTAGAAACTAATTTATGCAAAGCTGTTCAATGAAGTACCTCATTTTATCCAGTATTTCAAGGATGAACTGAGTTTAAGGGTTCATCCTAGAAAGAAAAGGGTGAATTTTCAGAGTACCTATAGAGAAAATTATAGAGAAATTTCTCTATAGAGAACAAGAGCTGATCTAGGTGAAGGATGGAACCCAGCTATAGAAATGCAACCAGGAATCTAGACCACAGTGCCATCAAGAGAGTTTAAGCAAAACAATCAAACCTCCCAATTACTGAGGTTTAAACAAAGAAAAGAGACTGCAACTCTAACAAATCTCATTCCAAATGCAGTTAACTATCCAAAGAGAACAAAATGGTGCCCTCTGATCCCATCCATTTGGTGAAGTTTCCTGCCAACTTCTACTTTTGCAGGCCCACACTGTCACACCAAATTAACACAGAAAAGTACTAATAGAGAATCTGTGTAAGATCAGATGCATGACTTGGGAGCATACGGGACTGACTTGTGCATTCAGTGGTTTTGCTCAAAGCTCAGTTCAGGAGTCTTCAGGGGAAAGCCGGAATCTCCACCAAAATCACAGTCATCTTCTAGGGCAACCAACCAGCAATTCTCCTGCTGAGGTCAGACTCAGGAGGAAGCCTCAGGGGACATTCTTCTTGTGGGGCTTTGGCTCCCAGCAAGGAGGACATTTCTTGCATAGCTTTTGCTACAAGAATGCAGGAAGAAGGGATATGGAACTAAAAAGAACAGCTCTGAAACACATGTGTCTGCCTGGGACAGTTCAAAGCCACCATACCAGTTTTGCTTTCCATAGTTTCATTCAAACAGTTCCTATCAGGGAATAAGTACCAGCCCAAGGGCAACTAGTTTACTAACTAAAGTACATTTAAGATTCCTACAAAGTTGAATAATGTGTGTGTGCACACATATATGTATACATTGATACTATCTATTCTACCAATTTAGCAAGATTTCTATATGTTAAAAAGAGATCAGTGAACATTTATTGAAGTAAAAATTGGGCTAACTTCTATGAAGGGCAATTTGGCAACATTGGTCTAAATTATAAATGTGTATCCTCTCTGACCTAACAATTCCACTTCTAAGTATTTAACCTGATATATTTGTTTTAAAAAAAAATTTTTTAAAGATTTATTTATTTATTTGAAAGGCAGAGAGTTACAGAGGCAGAGGTAGAGAGAGAGAGAGGTCATTCATCCACTGGTTCACTCCCCAAATGGCCACAACAGCCGGGGCTGGGCCGATTCTAAGCCAGGAGCAGGAACTTCTTCCGGGTCTCCCACATGGGTGCAGGGGCTCAAGGCCTTGAGTCATCTTCTACTGCTTTCCCAGGCCATAGCAGAGAGTCTGATTGGAAATAGAATAGCCGGGACTCGAATCGGCACCCATATGGGATGCACAGCCTTTATTTGCTAAGTCAAAGTGCCAGCCCCTGACCTGATATATTTGTACATATGAAAAATTATCCATGTACAAGGTTATGACTGAAACAACAGAATAGGAAAAGAATGGAAATAATCTAAATGTTTATTAACAAAAATTGAGATGAATATACTATGAAATATGCATACAATGGAATATTCTTAAAAATGGAATATAACACAGACTTTACAAAGGAATGAGGAATCTCGCCATGTATAGTTATGTAATGATTCGTAAGGTACAGTAACAAGTAAATTAAGCAATAAATACAAGAGTATATCAAATAATACTCAAAAAAATACTCAAGTAAAAAACAAGGTATAAAGTATTCTTGCCAAAGGAAAAAAAAAACTGATCAAGCTTCTAGATCTTATTATCACTTTATGGCAAACACAGGGTATAAAGAACCCTTACCACTCACATGGGAGGCCTAGAAGGTGTTCCAGGCTCCTGGCTTTGGTCTGGCCCAACCCTGGTCATTGTAGCCATTTGGGGAGTGAACCAGCAGATGGAAGACCTTTCTCTCTGTCTTTCCTCTCTCTATAACTCTGCCTTTCAAATAAATAAATAAATCTTAAAAAAAGAAAAGAAACATAGAATAAAATCTAGAGTACAGGAAGTTTTATAGGACAAAGACCCAGTTCCTTCACAAATAAAAGGATAAAAAAAGTGAAGGAAAATCTACAGGTTAAATTTGCATTAAAAGACACATTAGCGGGGCTGGCGCTGTGGCTCAGTAGGCTAAGCCTCTGCCTGTGGTGTCGGCAACGGTCCGTGTCCTGGCTGCTCTTCTTCTGACCCAGCACTTTGCTTAAAGCCTGGGAAAGCAGTAGAAGATGGCCCAAGTGCTCGGGCCCCTGTACCCACATGGAAGACCTGGAAGAAGCTCCTGGTTCCTGACTTCAGATCTGCACAGCTCTGGCTGTTGTAGCCATTTGGGGAGTGAACCAGCAGATGGAAGATCTCTCTCTTTCTCTGCCTCTCTGTAATTCTGCTTTTCAAATAAATAAATAAATCTTTAAAAAAAAAAAAAAAAAAAAAAAAAAAGATCTTCCACCCACTAGTTGACTCTCCAGGTAGCCACAACGGTCAGGGCTGGGGCAAGTCAAAGCCAGGAGCTTCATCTGGCTCTCCGACATGGGTGGAAGGGGCTCAAACACTGGAGCATCTTCTACTGCTTTCCCCAGGCCATTAGCAGGAGGCTGGATCAGGAGTAGTTGGGATAGGAAATGATACCCATATGGGACACCAGTGTCGCAGGCAGTGGCTTTACACACTACACCACACACTGGCCCCCAGTCAACTGATTTTTGAAAAAGGTGACATTACAACTCAGTGCAGGAAAGAATAGTCTTCAAAAAATGGGGCTAGACCAACCAGATATCCCCACGGAACAAAACTGGATCCCTACCTTATGCCACACGCAAAAATTAACTCAAAATGAATAAAAAACTGAAATATACAAGCTAAAACTATAAAACTCATTGAAGAAAGCATAGATGTCAATCTTCAAGACTAGGGACCAGGCAATGGTTTCCCAGATATAACACATAAAGCATAAGCAACCAGTGAAAGAAATGGATAAACTGAATGTCATCAAAATTAGAAGCTCTCATGCTCCAAAGTCTACTATCAAGAAAATGAAAAATAAACCACAGAGTGAGAGTAAATATTTGCAAAGCATATATCAGATATGTGTAGTCTGGTATCCAGAACATATAAAACACTCTTACAAGTCAACAATAAAGACCACCCAGCTTAAAACAGCCTAAGGATTTCTCCAAAGAAGATTTACAAACAATAAGTACACACCAGTTGGCATTGTTCATCATTAGGGAAACACAAACGAAAACCACAATGTGATACCACTTCACACCCACACGATGGATATAATAAAAAAGACAATAACAAGTGCTAGTAAAGATGTGAAGAAATTGGGATCCTTATATACTACAGGTAATATAAAAATTATTCAGCTACTTTGCTAAATACTCTACCAGTTCCTCAAAAAGTTACCAAATGACTCAACAATTCCACTCCTAGGTGATTTCACCCAGAAGTGAAAACAGTTGTTTACACAAAAACTTGTACACAAATGTTCGCAGCAGCATGATTCATAGTAGCCAAAAAGTGGAAACAACTCTACTGCCTATCAACTGATAAAAGAACAAACAAAATGTGGTATGTCATACAATGAATATTATTCAGCCTCTAGCAAAATGCATTAGAAAAACAAAAATTAGGACAATTAGGGAAGATATTAACTTGATATTGTATAATATTTGGCAATTATTGTCATTATTCTAGATATAATAGTGGGACCACAATTGGTAAACAAAAAAGAACTTATTTTTTAAAAAATGAGACACTTTGAAGAACTATGAATGAAATGATATGATGTCTTGGATTTGCTTCAAAATATTATAGTTAGGGAAGTTTAAATGAATACTGGACATGTGGTAAAACTTGTTGAAGGGGCTGACATTGTGGCACACCAGGTTAAGCTGCTGCCTGTGATGCTGGCATCCCATGTGAGCACCAGTTTGAGTCCCTGTTGCTCTACATCCAAACCAGTGCCCTGCTAATGCACCTGGGAAAGCAGCAGCAGATGAATCAATTGCCTGGCCCCATGCCACCCATGTGGGAGACCCAGATGTAGTTCCAGGCTCCTGGTGTCAGCCTGACCCAGGCCTGGCTGCTGCAGACATTTGGGGAATGAACCAGTGGGTTAAGATCTCTGTCTCTCCCTCTCTCTGTAACTCTGCCTTTCAAATAACAAATACATCTTCTTAAAAAATTGTGATAGGGGAGCATCATGCTACTATCCCAACCTTTAAAAATCCTTTAACTTATATCCATAATGAAATGTTTTAACTAATTTTATTTATTTGAAAGTCAGAGTTACAGAAAGACAGGGAGAGACAGAGAGAGAGAGATCTTCCATCTCTATCTCCCTAGATAGCCACGAGAGCCAGGGGTGGGCCAGGCGGAAATCTGGAACCAGCAGCTTCACGTGGGTCTTTTACATGGGCCCAAACATTTGGGCCACCTTTTGTTACTTTCCCAAGCAATTAGCTGGGGACCTGGATTGGAAGCAGAGGCAAACTGGCACCCATATGGAACCAGCATTGCAGGCTGTGGCTTTACCTACTACGCTGGCCTCAATGAAGTACTTTTAAAAAAAAAAGATTTATCTATTTACTTGAAAGTCAGAGTTACAGAGAGAGAGATATCTAATGAAATGCTTCTTCTTTTTTTTTTTTTTTTTTTTTTTTTTGACAGAGTGGACAGTGAGAGAGAGAGACAGAGAGAAAGGTCTTTCTTTTTGCCGTTGGTTCATCCTCCAATGGCCGCCACTGCCGGCGCGCTGCGGCCGGCGCACGGCGCTGATCCGATGGCAGGAGCCAGGTGCTTCTCCTGGTCTCCCATGGGGTGCAGGGCCCAAGCACTTGGGCCATCCTCCACTGCACCAGAGAGCTGGCCTGGAAGAGGGGCAACCGGGATAGAATCCGGCGCCCCGACCGGGACTAGAACCCGGTGTGCCGGCGCTGTAAGGCGGAGGATTAGCCTAGTGAACCGCGGCGCCGGCCCATGAAATGCTTTTTTTTTTTTTTTTTTTTTTTTTTTTGACAGGCAGAGTGGACAGTGAGAGAGAGACAGAGAGAAAGGTCTTCCTTTGCCGTTGGTTCACCCTCCAATGGCCGCCGCTGCAGCCGGCGCACCGCGCTGATCCGATGGCAGGAGCCAGGATCCAGGTGCTTTTCCTGGTCTCCCATGGGGTGCAGGGCCCAAGCACCTGGGCCATCCTCCACTGCACTCCCTGGCCATAGCAGAGAGCTGGCCTGGAAGAGGGGCAACCGGGACAGAATCCGGCGCCCCGACCGGGACTAGAACCCGGTGTGCCGGCACCGCATGAAATGCTTTTAAAACATATAATTGTGGGGCCAGTGCTGTGGTGTAGTGGGTAAAGCCGCCACCTGAAGTGCCAGCATCCCATAAGGGCGCCAGTTCAAGTCCTGGCTGCTCCACTTCTTTTTTTTTTTTTTTTTTTTTTAAAGATTTACTTATTTACTTGAAAGTCAGAGTTACACAGAGAGGTCTTCCATCCTCTGGTTCATTCCCCAATTGGCCACAACAGCTGGAACTGCACCGATCCAAAACCAGGAGCCAGGAGCTTCTTCTGGGTCTCCTACGTGGGTGCAGGGGCCCAAGCACTTGAGCCATCTTCTACTGCTTTCCCAGGCCGCTAGTAGCAGAGAGCTGGATCGAAAGTGGAGCAGCCAGGACTTGAACTGGCACCCATATGGGATGCCAGCACTGCAGGCAGCAGCTTTACCTGCTACGCCACAGCGCCGGCCCTTGCTCCACTTCCGATCCAGCTCTCTGCTATGGCCTGGCAAAGCAGAAGAAGTTGGCCCAAGTCCTTGGGCCCCTGCACCTGCATGGGAGACCTGGAAGAAGCTCCTGGCTCCTGGCTTCTGATCAGCTCAGCTATGGCCATTAAGGCCATGTGGGGAGTGAACCAGTGGATAGAAGACCTCTCTCTATATATATAGCTCTTTCAAATAAATAATTTAAAAAATAAATTAATAATTGCTTTCATATGCGTAAGATAGCTCTAGATGGATATATAAGAAATGTGTAATTCGGTTTCCCTCTGGAAAGGAGCACTGAGTAGAAAAGGATGTGAGTAACACAGAGAATCTTCACTACTTCTCCTTTTTAAAAGTAGGTTCTAGAGCGAATCAGTTACTGCAGTAGCCTACCAGCACTGGTGCTCTGAGATGCATTTTTAAAGCATCTATTATATTTCTGAGACAGAAATAAATATAAGCCCTGTTTTATAGATGACCCACTGAGTTTAGTTCAGAGTCTGAATCCCACAGGGAGTCAGCGGTGAACTGCAAACACTCTTGAATTTCTCATCCCTAACCTATGTCAGGAACATTCACCTTGTCTTAAAACTTCATGTCACTTAATACAGAAGCAGATACGAATGCATAAAAGTAACCACTAAAAAAAGTGTACGCCTGGAGACTGTATTAGGCTTCTAGACTTAAGCCAATCCAGTATCAGAAGGAGCTAGGCATTCTACCTCCCAATGGAAGCAAGCCAGGTAAAATCAAGAAACCTGACATTATAGGAGACATAGAAAAGCCCTTTGTGAGCAGAAGTGATATGACCAGGGCTCTGTGACCACTCCTGAGAAAACACAATCGTCATTTATTACCTCTACTGACTTCTAACGTATTACCTTTGCAGGGCAGCTAACATGCTCCTGGGTATAAATCCTGCCTGACATAAAATAGTTAAATTTATGTAGGCACACTCGAAGAAGAGAAAAACACAAACATTTGCATATGCAATGCCTTCCAACCCTTTCCTGTGGTTCATACTTATAATTATGAGTAAAAAAACAAACGAGGGTGCCACTCACCTTGATTCTTGTCATCTGGGTCAGGGTCTGGTTTCAGTCTTTTCACACTGTTGCCACTCTCTGAGCTATAACAAAAAACATGGTGATTTGAACTATGCCCAATCCGCATGGATCAAAGCTTATGGGGTCAGGAGCTCTAATAACCACTTGTATGGGCTTTAAGTAGCCCAAAGGAGCTAGATGGTCTGAAATGAAGAGTCTTCGCTTGGGTTCTTAATCTCCCTCCAATTATACAATTAGTTACAAAGACAACTCAAATTCCTGACACATCCAAAAAAGAATCATTGTATTTTCAAGCATCACTTCAACTTGTTATTCTTTATTGTTCAACTTGATTAGAACCACAGATGGATTTCACAAATGACAAAAATTTAGTTATGTTATTAATGATTGAAGAAAACATCTATAGTGGCACGCTAGACAGTCTGAGAGCCATCCTAAAGATTTTCACCAGAAGAACATCTAAAGAATGTACTTCAGGGGCGGTGTTCTGGCTTAATGGGTTAAGCCACAGCCTGCAATGCCACCATCCCAAGTCGTGGCTGCTCCACCGCTCCTTTCATTTTTATACTTTACAGCATATACACACCAGTAACTTCCAGACTTTAGTGGGCATCAGAATCAGCCATGGAACCTTAAAAACAAAGACTCCTACACCTCATTCCAAATTTCCCAGACCAGAATTAGTGTAGGCTGCAGATCTACAGTATTAACAAACTTCCAGGTGATTCCAACAAACCCAGGGCAGGGTAGATTAGGAACTCCTGCCCCAGAAGGCTAATTCATCACTTTGCTATGGCAAACAACAATAAATGATAGCTTCAATACTCAAAAGGGGCTATATGCAGATCACCACATAAGCTAATAGAGTCCCTTCTAAAAGTGATCTAAAATCAAGAGAGGATCCGGCACCATAGTATACCAGGTTAAAGCCACAGCCTGCAGCACCAGCATCCCATATAAGCACTGGTTTGAGTCCCAGCTGCTCCACTTACGATCCAGCTCCCTGCTGGTGCACCTGGGAAAGCAGCAAAGGATGGCTCAGGTCCTTGAGCCCCTGCACCCATGTAGGAGACCCGGAAGCTCTTGGCTTGGGCCTGGCCTAGCCCCTGTCATTGCAGCCATTTGGGGAAAGTGAGCCAGCAGATGGAAGGTCTCTGTCTCTCCTCTCTCTAACTCTGCCTTTCAAATACATAAGTCTTGGAGTTAAAAAAAAAAAACACCCACGGGAGATAGCTTTGACACCCATCCTGCTGCCATCAGTAAGAGCACTGCTGAGGGGTAACTAACTGCCAACTTGAAGAGCGTTCCTCAGCACAGTCCAGTAAAACTGACTCAGGTTCAAATCATGGAAGACACTGGCCCTTGTGTGAAAGCTTATGTAAGAGCCTGAAAGGAATAATTCATGGTTTGGGAAGAGGGCCCCTTTCAGGCTACTGATACTCCTCCCCTCTGCCGTTGTACCATGATGACATTTTTCCACGGAGGCAATGTTCCTAGGAACATCTGCAGCAGATGGACAGGGTGCCAAACCACAAGACTGCATCAATACACTCCCTTCAAAACATGTGGCTGGTTGCCAGTACACTACATTGATTTTCCTAATAGACTGCACTTAAACTTAACATTATTTTGCCCACGGTCTCTAGTTCGTCAGATTGAAATAATGATATTCAATCACTCTGGTGCCATTCCAGGATTCGGAAAAGGAGTAGCAAACACAACAAAGAACTTACTGAGACCTCTGCATAATGCCACTCTCCGCCACCCCCACCTCACTCGCTGCCACAGCCAGGTGTGTAAGCCTGCCACAGCTGCTGTGTCCTTCGGGCCACAGTGCCTGTACAGCAGCTGTTCCCTCTATGGAGATGTCCTCCCTCCTGCCTGCCTGTCACAGTCCTCCTGGTCCCGCCTAATCCCCATTTTCCACAGCTTGCCCAACATGAGCACAACCTCTAGGCAGCCATGTGTCCCTCCTCCTCGCTCACTACACCCTGTACACAAATCCTTCACAGGACTTGCCAGCTTACTCTCCAGAAACCCAGATGCTCAAATACTGGACTCCAGTTCTCCTATCACTGTGTGACTTTGAACAAAGGTTCTCAATCTCTCGAATTCTCAGTCCTACCTGCAGAACAGAGGTGATAGTAATTTGTAGTTACTAGAATTTTTGGGAGGAATGAAATCATGTATGGGAAGTACTTAACACAACGCCTGGCACATGTCAGGTGCTCAAGGAAGAGTAGCTACTGTCACATGTATTGAGTGAATGATCAGAGAGAGAAAGGTCAAAGGCTAGAGAAGACACCAAGTGTTGAAAGGGAGGGGGACAAAAGCACACCACAGGGACTTGGTGGAGACTCATGGGAGGTAACCTTTAGCTTTGGTCACCGTGACAGCATTTCAGAGAAGATGGTCAGAGGGAGAGTTAAGCTGTGTTGAGTGCTGGCTGACCTCTTATGTTTCACAGCTCCTGCCAACAGCTTTGCCTGGGAGAACTTCTTGGTTTCTATGGGTTTCACAGCCAGTTTCTTCTCCACTTCCTTCTTGTTTTCTGAAGAAATTCCAACCTTGTTGAGATTACTGTAAGGTACGGGTTAAGGATCAAGCTAAGCAAAAAGAAGAGCTACCACAGCTGACAGTCAATCAAAGGAAGGATAACAAATATAACCCACTGGCCTTTACAACCGTGCCATATGCCTAGCCTATTTATAAAAAGGAAAATGTCTCTCTTCTTTTTTTCCCCCCGAGTCTCAAGGAAAATCTGAGCTCAGCCAGAAAACCTGATATTACCAAAGACATGGCCAGTATCACACCTGACACAGAAAACAAAGACTGCAAGGAATATAAAGGAACAGAAAAAAACATGACTTCTCTGAAAATATGTGCTTTCCTCCCTAAGGGTAAAACCAAAGTTTTCAAAATGTCCTTATGACTATCTGTGGCACTCAATCTTTTTTGTTTTCTTTTAGATTTATTTATTTATTTAAAGGCAGAGTTACAGAGAAGCAGGGGCAGACAAAGAATCTTCCATCCGCTGGTTTACTCCCCAAATGGTCGCAGCAGTCAGAGCTGGGCCAATTTAAAGCCAGGAGCCTGGAGCATCCTCCAGGTCTCCCACACTGGTGCATTGGCCCAAGAACTTGGGCCTTCTTCCACTGCTTTCCTAGGCTATGGCAGAGAGCTGGATCAGAAGTGGAGCAACCGGGACTTGAACTGGCATCCATATGGGATGCCAGCACTACAGGAGGTGGCTTTACCCACTATGCCACAGTGCCAGCCCTGGCACTCAATCTTAGAAATCACGAAGACCACCTCCCACTCTGCAGGTACAAGGCAACATCACAGGCATCAGGCTCATCAAAAATGCAGAGCATCCACCGCCTCTTCTCCAAACTACTGAGCAAGGACCTCTGGAGGCCCAGGAGCCACTCTCTCTGCAGGTGACTGCAAGGTGCGCACAGACAACACAAGAACTGGAAAGGCGTTTTCCGAAGCACAGCCAGAGCATTTCTAACATCGCTTCTTCACGCTCAACGCCACTTTCTGGGTCTCAAGGTCTATCACTTTCACTTGTTCTCTCCACCTCCCCACTCTGCTCCTCCATTTTATTTTATGCTCTCTCATAACACACCCAACAACAGATAAATATTCTGATATGTGCAAGTTCTTACTGAAGATGGTGCCTTACTGGAACCACACTGACATCTAGTGCCTAAGAAATCTAAGCAGCACATGTTATCAGCTCAGAGGGGTAGGTGAAGAAGGGGGTACACAGTCCAGGCTATTTGTCTACTTTGAACTTGAACCATGGAGGTACTAGAAATAAGGAACCTCTAATTCTGACTACTCTTCAGGTGCTAACTCTGTTCTAAACATCTGCAGCATTATTGAGGATTACATGCTCAGAACTATTTTGAGTTTCATTCATTTAATGTTTTTAAGGTCATCACAGAAACAACATGTTAATAATAATAAATGTCCATTTTTATAGAAAAAAATTGAAATATTTCATTTTTCTACTAGAGAATGCCAAAAACCATTCATGAAGTGAACAGATTCTCAAAGCAAACTCTCAATATTAGTGAAAAATAAAATAATGGAAAAAATTGACACAGTTGGGGTAGGTGTTATGGAGTAACCAGTTAAAGCCACCACCTGCAGTGCTGGCATCCCACGTGGGTGCCAGTTTGAGCTCTGGCTGCTCCATTTCTGATCCAGTTCCCTGCTGATGTGCCTGGGAAAGCAGCAGAAGATAACCCCAAGTACTTGGGGCCCTGCCATCAACATGGAAGGCCCAGAAGAAGCTCCTGGCTTCAGACCATCCCAGCTCTAGCCACTGTGGCCACCTGAGGAGTGGACCAGTGGATGGAAGATCTGTCTCTCCCTCTCTGTAACTTCTTTCACGTGAATAAATAAAATTTTTTTTACAAAAATTAACACAATAAAAGCATACATGTATTTACAACACCAGGACACAGACAAAACCCAATATTTAAGTCTTTATTCTTTTAAAGTGTAGAAAAGTTCCAACCTCCTTGAGGTGAGGAGTGGGGAAGTACCAATCTTATTTCTGATCCATACCCAAAGCATAAATGACTTTTTTCCTCTAGCTCCCTTTCTCAAAAATGTCACAAAAACACAAGCACATCTCACAAATCGCAATGAATTCATTAGATGAGGCTTTTTAAAATCACATCTTTTGAACATACATAATATCATTAAATACTGGTCCAACTCCAGAGGAAACAACTAGAGTCCTACCGCTTACCTGGCACAAACCACAGCACATGAATATGCAGAAGAGTGCATCATCCTATAATAATCAAGCAAAGCCAAGAACGAGCTCCTAATTTAGAGTTTTAATAAACAAATGTCTAATATTTCAATTTCTAGCTCAACATGTCTCCAGCTACTTGTATGCTTAGAATTAATGCATTATATGTCAGCAAGCTGGAAGGCTTGCTTTTCTCCAGTTTTTCTAGACAGTCAGAACTTCCCAGGTTCCCAATTAAAGCCAATACCCCCACAGTCTCTTTGATGCGGTACTTCAGGGTTACCGGGACAGAAACGTTTCTTTTGTCTCACTACTGCCCTGTTCTTCCCTCTTAATCAAAAACCGAAAGCCATCTCCCACTTGCAGCACCACTCTCCAGAATGCTGTTTTGGGAGACACCCTGCCTTATTTGCTAACTGCCAACATAAAGCAAGACATCATTCAACTGAGAAGCAACATCACTGTATATCCTTACAGGAAAATCTGCACGTTGGCAGAACTGCACCATGCTTATCTGCCTACCTCTACAGACATCTTTGCATAAATTTAAGTCTGCAGTCATCAGGGCAGAGGAGGGAGATCAGAAGACTCAATCTCCATCCACAGCTGGGCTGAAGTGTAATTCCCATTAACGCCTATCCTAGTTTTGCACCTGAACGTCATTAACAGAATTGGGACTGGAGTCAGATCTTTTGCTCCAGTTCAAATGTCAACCAAATCCCAGGGGATCTATTTTTTTTTTTTCCATAAGCTCTTTCGTGGACTCTACTGTACATAAGAAAATACCAGCTATCACCTACACCCAGTCATATCATCAGTCTTAGAGGGGAAGGCTGTTCAACCACACTAATGGGGTCGCTAAACATACAAACTTGGAATACCCAAATAAGCTTCTTCACAGGAGGAAAAAAGTTGAAGTGGCCTTATGAATACCTTCTATGAGTTACTCATTAACTTAAATCATACACAAGAGAACTTCAAAAAACTCATGAAAAATACAATCAAAAGTTAAACTTTTGGGGCCAGTACTGTGGCGTAGCAGGTAAAGCCACCGTCTGCAGTGCTACCATCCCTTATGGATGATGGTTCAAGTCCTGGATGCTCCACTCCGATCCAGCTCTCTGCTATGGCTTGGGACAGCAGAAGATGGCCCAAGTCCTTGGGCCCCTGCACCCATGTGGGAGACCTGGAGGAAGCTCCTTGCTCCTGGTTTCGGATTGGCACAGTCTGGCTGTTGCAGCCAATTGTGGAGTGAACCAGCGGATGGAAGACTTCTCTGTCTCTCTTTCTCTCTCTGTGTAACTTTGACTTTCAAGCAAATAAATAAATCTTTAAAAAAAAAAAAAAAAGTCAAACTATTTTGGTACAAAAAAAGTTAGAAATCCATGCATATAAGGGGTTTTCAAAAAGTTCGTGGAAAAAAAAAGTTCGTGGAAAGAAATATATATCATGGGAAACTATGCATGGACTTCAAATTTCTTTGCACCAAAATAAACTTATCTTTTAATTATATTTTTGCATGAATGTTTTGAAGTCCCCTCATATTTGCTGGGAACCTATTACATGCCAGGCACTGGGAAAATCTGTAGGGACCAAGTGAGATAAAGTCCTTGCTCTTATGCAGTCACTTTACATTCCAGCCATAAAAAGATAAACAAACCAGTTAACAAATAAGAAGATTTTCAGATAAGTGACAAGTATTAATTAAGGGGGGGGGAGGCGGTAATGTGGCACATTGGGTTAAAGCGCCTGCAGCACTGGCATCTCATACTGGTACCAAAGAGTCCCAGCTGCTCCTCTTCCGATCCAGCTCTGCTATGGTCTGGGATAGCAGCAGAAGATGGCCCAAGTCCTTAAGCCCCTGCACCCTCTGGGAGGTCTGGAAGAAGCTCCTGGTTCCTGGCTTCAGATCAGCTCAGCTCTTGCCACTGTGGTCATTTGGGGAGTGAACCAGCAGAATGGAAGACCTCTCTCTCTCTCTCTGGCTCTACCTCTCTCTGTAACTTTCTCAAATAAATAAAATAAATCTTGAAAAAAAAAAAAAAAAAGGATATTCAGAAGGGATGGGTGTAATTTTAGATAAAGTGTTTAGGAAGGTCTCTGTGAGGAAATCTGAGCTGAGACCTGAATGCCATGAAATGCCAGTCCTGTCAAATCTGAAGGCGGAACACTTCAGGCTAAGGAAACAGCAAGTGAGAAGCCTTGCAATGGAATTATGAAGCTCAGTGTGAGAGAGGAACAAAGGGAAGACCAGCAGTCTGGATTACACTAAGCATGTGAAAAGTGGTTTCAACATGCAATGGGAAGGCAGGTTGGCCTAAATTCAGGTATGTCTGTGGTGTCTGATAAGGCAAACAGACTTCAGTCTAAATGCAACAGGAAGCCACCAGAGTGTTTCAAATAGGAAGGTGACATGATGCCATGTATGTTTTTAAAGATTCCCTTTGTTGTCTGAAGAAGATTGTTGGAGATGAGAGTACAAACAGAAAACAATTAGATGGCCACAGAAGTCCGGAGGAAGCTAGTTCTACTAACATGGCAGAAGAGATGGCAAGAATCAGCCAAGTCTGGAGCCTATTTTGGAAGCAGTTTTAACACAGGCATCTAGGGGTCCAGGAGCAGCAGTTACTGAGACTGGAAAGGCCAGAAAGAGCAACTTTGGCAAAGGGCAGTGTAATGAGCTTGAGGATAATGTGGCACAGAACTGGGAATCTTGATTTAGCCAAGTTACAGTTGGGAGGTGAGCAATACTGAGCCAAAGTAATATCATCTTTGTTACTTCCTCAGCCCCTCAGTGGGGACAGACCATGCTTTACCAGTGGGAAACACTTTACTGAGGACACAAAGAGTTGCTAAACATGTTCTTTTAAATCTCAAAAGCCAATTTCTTCCCTGGATGAAGTTGATTACATTGCCCATCTGTCTCAAAGTCTAATCTCACCAGGCAAGAATGTCCTGCTACTGACTCTTAGGATTTATGCCTTGAATTAATCCTAAAGGACGTGGACTTGTGATTACAACATACTCTTGCTTCCAACACAAACTCCACAAATCACTGTCGGTTATTCACAGCCATAAGGGTATCAGCATTGAAAGAGACGTTAGAGGTCACCAGGTAGAAGGCCCCCTTCCATTTAAGAGGAAACTGAAGTCCACAGACGTTGGTGAGAAAATGGACACCTCTCCAAGGACAAAGGATATTCTGTATTCCTTCAGTTCTTTCAGCTCTTCCTCTCTTCGCTGCTTTTCTATTAGTTCTTGCTGCCGAGAAACCTCATCAAGGAAGTTGGTCTCATCTTCATCTAAGCCTCTTACCATGTTTTCTAAGGAAATAATTAAACAAGAAACACTTAGCAGGCTAAAAGGAAAATGTAGTCAAATAAGATTTTTTTTTAATAAACAGCAGATTCTTCAGAGGATTAGAAGAAAGGACTATTAAACACCATGGCTTTTGAATAAATAACATGGCATAAAATCAAAGCATTTCTCCCCATTACTGGATATTAGCATACAATTAGAATGGGTATCTTGAGTTTTAAAATTGTTCTATGTGATCCAGAAGGCAGAAAACTGTCTCTTTTCTACCAAATGACCATCTGGAGACTAGATCATCAAGACAATTCCTCTGGTTAGAGAAGAGTGCTGCATGAGGCAAAAGTGCAGCAAAAGGCCGCTGAGAGTCCTCTGGACTCGTATTTTCTGAAGCTTACTGAATTTGAACTGCTCCTCATATTCCTGCTGCTTCCTGTCTTTCTGCTCCTGTAGTCTTTCATACAGAGACCGTGGGTCATAAACCTCCTCTGGACACTCTGAAAGGAAGGCGGGGAAGGAAAAAAGACACACACTTTAAAATTTTTTCATATTATTTTAGAATCACAAAGAGTTTAAAAGATAGTCAAGTCTCTGCATGATCTGAGAATCGGCACAACACCAAAATAGTACAAAGTCCACAGCTTCTCTTTAGACCTCAGAGGGCCAGTGGTTCCCAAAGCTAACTACCAATGTCAACAGGGCCCACGGCCTGAAAGAGTAAACTGGATGACAGCCCAAGCCCTCCAGAGCAGCACTGGTTCAGACCACGGATACACCGTATTGATGGAAAGACTTCCTGAACCTCCTGGATAGCAACACGGTAGGGGGAAAGGGCAAGGACATAAGTAACCTGGTTCTGCTCCCAGCTAGGGAGGCCTTACACAGGTTACTCTGTCCCTCTGAGCCCTGGGTGTTCAACTCTCAAGTGAGGACAGCTAATACAGATTTGGCTGGGTTGGTTTTTTTTTTTTTTTTAAAGATTAAAAAAAATTATTTGAAAGGCAGAGTTACAGAGAGAGAAGGAAAGACAGAGACAAACAGAAAAAGAGAATCTTCCACTCGTTGGTTTACTCTCCAACGGGCTGCCAATGGCCAGGGGCTGGGTCAGGTTGAAGTCAGGAGCCCAGAGCTTCTTCCAGGTTTCCCACGAGGGTGCAGGGGCCCAAGTACTTGGGCCACCTTTCACTGCTTTCCCAAGTGCATTAGCAGGAAGCTGGATCAAAAGTGGACCAGCTGGGTCCCAAACCAGCACCCATAAGAGACACCAGTGCTACAGGCCAAGACTTAACCTGCTATGGCACAACACCAGACCCAGCAGGGTTGGTTTGAGGATTAAAGATCACTCAATTTGATATCAAACTATAAACCTACAACCTTCTGGATCTTCAGGTTTTCGAACTTTTTCCCATTCTTCTTGCCTCCTTTTGCGCCGTTCATCTAGTTCTGCCTCTGACACAAACCTCTTTTTGATGACAAGGTTACCGTCATCTCCTCCATCCATAATGGAATAATCAGTCTACAAAAAAAAGAAACCCAAAGTGAGGAAAAACATGTCAAGTGAGAACGAAACAAGGAGATTTAGTTCTGCCACACCTAGCAACAGACTAAAAATTCTCTTCCAATCTGGAACAAATAATTATTCAAATAGCTTAATTTACAAGTCATTAATGGGAGCACATGATTATATTTTCCCTAATGTACCAGATAGGTTTTTTTTAAAGTTGTGAGGCAGATGAGTTTATCTTTTTGTTTTTTTAAAGATGTACTTATTTATTCAAAAGTGAGAGTTATAGAGAAAGACAGAGAGAGAGATCTTCCATCTGCTGTTTCCCTCCCCAGATGGCCACAGGAGCCAGGCGCTTCCTCCAGCCTCCAGCGCTCCCATGTGGGTGGTAGGGGCCCTAGCACTTGGGCCGTCCTCCACTGCCTTTCCCAGGCCATTAGTAAGGAGCTGGATCGGAAGTGAAGCAGCCAGGACACAAACCAGCACCCATATGGGATGTGTGCGTTGCAGGTGGCTTTACCTGCTATGGCACAATGCCAGCTCCAACAAGGTAGTTTTATTAAAATTGATGCTACCAGAAAAATTAGCCAGGGCATGTGTACTAATTCTCACTACCAGGTATTTCACACCGTAGATATTTTCTGTCCGTCTATTCCAAACAAATTGGCCCCCGGCACCCACCATTTTCCCAGTTCTTATCCTTTATTTTTCAACATGTAACATTGTTCCTTGCTGAAATTTCTCTTTCAGGGACTTTATAAAATTTTGACTTACTTGCTCTGGCTTCCAAGTAGATTCAGATGGAGAATGTCAGGTATTCAAGGAGACTCAGTGATGTCATGCAGTCTGTAGCGCTGGTAATGATACACCTGAAGGTACACAAACCATGCACGCAGAGAGTGAGCCTAGAAGAGCCCAGACCTCCCAAGCTCCCGCTCAGTGAGCTCAGAATACTGACTGATTGCTCCTACTCTCTCCTGGCCTCCCTCCCTGTAAATTCCATGTCTGTGCCAATCCCTTTTCACTCCCACAATAACCTCAACTACTACATGCCTATCTTGATGCAGATTCCCAAATCTCCTTTTTTTTTGACAGGCAGAGTGGACAGTGAGAGAGAGAGACAGAGAGAAAGGTCTTCCTTTTGCCGTTGGTTCACCCTCCAATGGCCGCCGCAGCCGGCGCACCACGCTGATCCGATGGCAGGAGCCAGGTGCTTTTCCTGGTCTCCCATGGGGTGCAGGGCCCAAGCACTTGGGCCATCCTCCACTGCACTCCCTGGCCACAGCAGAGAGCTGGCCTGGAAGAGGGGCAACTGGGACAGAATCCGGCGGCCCGACCGGGACTAGAACCCGGTGTGCCGGCGCCACTAGGCGGAGGATTAGCCTAGTGAGCCGCGGCGCCGGCCTCCTATCTACTTCTACATGAACCTTTCTTTAGAGAAAAGGAGGAAAGAAAATAAAGACAGCAGAATGTGTATCACTCCTTTATTTTTATTTGAAAGGCAAAGAGAGAGAGAAAGAAAAAGAACAAAACAGAGAGAAAGAGATTTTCTATCTGCTGTTTGACTCCCCAAATGGCTGCAACAGTTGGAGCTGGTCTAGGAAGAAGCCAAGAGCCAGAATCTCAATCCAGGTCTCCCACATGGGTTACCAGGACCCAAGTTCTTAAGCCACCACCAGTGCCTCCCAGGAAGCTGGAACTGGTAATAGTGCTGTGACTTGAACTCAGGCACTCTGGTATAGGAGCAGGTGTCCCAAGAAGCATCTTAATGCTGCACCTAACACCCACCCCGTGTCATTCCTTTTAAAGTAAACCTCTTTCTGTTTTATTTTGCTGGCTTTTCTTTTTGAGAAACCGTAGAATTAACCCTCTACAACAACATACATGTCATATGCTATTCACAGCAATACTCCCTAACCAGGAGGCACATATTCAACCCAATGTCAATTCCAAGATGATCTTTATTAACAAAAATAGCATTTTATTTAAAATCATAGAATAAGTCTACTATCACAAAAATAGAGCAACTAACATTTGCTGAGCTGTCACAATGAACTAAATACTTTCGATGTATATTAGCTCATTTACATGCATATTCGTCCTATGAAAAATATTTTTTCTTTATAGATGAAGAAGTTGAGGCTCAGAGAAGTTGGGTCACTTGTCTAAGGTGATGCAAGTGGTAAGTAGCAGAGACAAAAATCAGATCCAGGCCTGACATCACAGTCATACTTCTGAGGTGGGCATGTGGCACAGTGCTGCTTGGGATACCTGCATTCCATATCAGTGTTCCTGGTTTGAGTCCCAGCTACTCTGCTTCCAACCCAGTTTCCTTCTTAATGCACACCCTAGAAGGTAGCAGATAATGGTTCAAGCACTGGAGTCTTAGTCACCCATGTGGGAGACCCAGCTTGTGAGTTCTAGGTTCTTGACTTCAACCAGTCCCAATCCTGGCTATTGTGGGCATTTGGGGAGTGAACTAGCAGACGGAAGATTTTTCTTCATCTCTCTCTCTCTAAACTCAATTTTTTTTAAATTCATACTTTTACCCACTTCACCATGCTCCTTTTCAGAAACCACTAAATTTCAGCTTTTTTCCTACATCAAAGTCCAACTCTAAGAATGTTCTTGCAATATTTTTACTTAGCAAACACAGATACTGCAACTAAAAAAAAAGCACAAACATTCAGAAAAAGAGAAATTGTCTCAGCCCGAATCCTACTTACTGTTGCTGAGGTTTAAGTCAATGTAACAACAATGAGAATTTTTAACACTTCTGACTTAGCATCACTCCAGGTCTCCAGCCAGAGGCTTATTACAAAAGCAGAACTATGCAGTCTCTGTGAGCATGCCAAAAATTCCTCAAGTTCTACATAACAACCTCTTAAGAAACAACAGCCAGCAATTTCTTAAATGTCCCTGGAAGAGAAAATGAACTACGTAGAGCTCTAACAGATTGGAGAGACATATTAGACTCTCAGCGTCTCCCTTTCTTACCCTCTATCAGTCATAACTCTCTTTTCTCATGAGTTCATTTAGGGTGCTAGCATTGCAGGTACTGGTTTTACTCATTATGCCATGATGCTCGTCCCAAGAGCTTCTAATTTTAATCAGAAACAAAATTTTTATAGCATTTATGGATCACTTTTAGAAAAAGACAAATATATAGGACTCCAAGAAAATTATACATTTTTTTCTCATCAATCTTTTCTACTAAGTGTTAGAATTCACCTTTTATGCAAATAGATTATCTGTGCTATTAGCATCTCACATACAGGGACAAAACAAGGAATCATAGTTGTCAAATGAAAATAAACAAAAGTGCATTTAAAAAGAAATTAAAAGGGCTTTAGAATTTGACAAAGAAACTCATTCTCATTAGTTATCAATGGGTTGATTTCCTGAAAAGAGTCACAAGCTCAAAACATTGAAAAGTCTCCTTCTCAAAGCAAATGTCACGTCCCTGCCATTCCCTTGATCCCAAAATAAATAAGCCAGTCTACATGGCTACCCATAGCGGTGAATATCAGTGCATTCAAGAGAGACAAGAGGGGCCAGTGTGATGGTGAAACGGAGAAAGTTGCCAGCTGCAATACCACATCCCATATGGGCACAGGTTTGAGACCTGGCTGTTCCACTTCCCATCTACCTTCTTGCTAATGCACCTAAGTAGCAAATGATAGCCCAAGTCCTTGGGCCCTTGTGCTCATGTGGGAGACCCAGGTGGAGTTCCAGGCTTCTAGTTTCAGCCTGGCCCAGCCCCAGCCCTTACGACCATTTGAGGGGTGAACCAGCAAATGGAAGATTTCTCTCTCTCTTTCAAATAAATAAATAAATCTTAGAGAGAGAGAGACCGACCAGATTAGAACAGACTGCTTTATCCACCTCTTTCCTAAATTTTCATTTTCTTCTATAGGTCCTCATCCCACAGAATTTCAGCACATGTTGTTCCTTCTTTGCCTCCAATGCCATCAGTGCTGTCTGGTCACTTATTCAGTCATCTTTTTATATTAGCAAAGGTTAAAGAACAGAAAAAGTTGAAAAACAAGTGGCCATATTCCCAAGTATTCTAGATAATATTCAGAACATTTCTTTCTCAGAAATATTCAGGTCTTTTCAGGATTCAAAACTTCACTGTCAATTAGAAAGCTTTACCTTAGATACCTTTCAGCATACTCTAATCTAACTGAGCCAGTATAAAACAAGTACCTTCTGTTGTAGCTTCCTTGTCAAAGAGAGAGTGCAGGTAGTGATAAAGCCAACAGAGAGCTTGGTTCAAACCCTGGTTCCACCGCTTACCAGTTATATGACATCAGACAAGTCAGTTAACTCCTCTGAGCCTTGGTTACCTCACTCAGTTTCTATTTACCAATGAGGATCAAAATTGTTCTGCGCAGCATAAAGCTTTTGTGAAGACAAAACAACATAATTCACATAAAGCACTTACTACAGTGTTTGGCACAGCTTTAAAATGCTTTGCAAGGTTTGCTATTACTACAACAAACTGTGCTAAGCTCTGGACAGGCTACAGGAGGGAGAGAAATACTGTCTGCACTCCAGGAGTGGAGGAGGAATAAATCAGTGACATAAATAACTATGACATTTTAAAAGGAAAAGGGATCACATCAAACTGTGAGAAATTAGGAAACACACACACATACACATATTTAATTTTAACAAACATAATTACCATGGCAGGCGTTTAGCTTAAGACACCAGTTAAGACACCCACATCTCATATCAGAGCTGGGTTTGACACTGGACTCCAGCTCCTAACTCCAGCTTCCTGCTAACATAGACCCTGGGAGACAGTAGTGATGGCTCAAGTAATTGGGTTGCTGGCATCCATTTGGATGACCCAGATTGAGCTCCAGGCTTTGGCATGACCTAGCCCCAGCTGTTTTGAGCATCTGGGGAGTAAACAAATGGATGGGCGCATTCTTTCTCTGTCCCTCTCTATGTGTATCTCTCTGCCTCAAGAATAAATTTTAAAAATTAAAAAGAAAAAACTTAAAAGGCTTTAAAAAAAGATAATTACCAAGTTATAATACATAATTTGATAACCCTACATTTTCCCTTTAGTGCACTTTCTATTTTACAGTTGTTCAATTTGAAGGAAATAAATGTAGCATCATGCTCAACTCTGCATCCAGCACTACACCAGATTCCATGGGTATTACAAAAATAAACTTTAATACTTAGTACTGCTACACAAGTTACACCAGAGAAGAGTGCAGACAATAAATTAGCAAAACGAATAGTAAAGTAGGAGGTCAAACTGAAGGGCACGGATATGGAGCAATCCAGTTTCCAGGCTGGAACCTTGACAAGCACCTAGACCTCTTTTTTCTGCACTCCTTAACATAACCAAGTAATCAAGTTCTGTTGTTCCAAGCCATAGTAATCTCTTTTTAATCTATCCTTTTTTCCAATTTATTTCTAGGAAAGGGTCCCTTTCTTTCTAACCCCTTCTTTTAAGGGCCTCATCCCATTCTTCTGTTTCTATTTTATTCTCCTTTCAATCCATATCATTTTCGTCCAATTTAAAATGTTTCAAAGACTCCTTACTGTCCCTAAGGTAGGTTTCTAACCTCACTACTACTGACATTTCCAGTCAGGTAATTCTTTAATGCAGGCTGTCCTGTGCACTGAGGGATGTTTAGCAGCATTCCTGGCCTCTACTTACTAGATGCCAGTAGCAACCACCCTCCCACACCAGTTCTGAAAATCAAAAATCTCTCCAGGCATTGCCATAAATTCTCTATGGAGCAAAATCGCCCCTGGGTTCATTCAGCATGACTTGCTCTAGGGTAAAGTTCCTTTTCCATAGCATGACCCTGTCTCATTTCTCCCATCCTTCTCACTTCAC